TCAACTTGTTCAATACATCAGCCATTCAGTTAAAAAGTATGCTGACAAACTTATTTCTTAAGTAAAGCCTAGTATATCACATCTTTATTACTTTTTGTATCACACTGTTTTTTTTTTAAATTATATGTGAAAACTTTTAAATGACCTTCGGTATTTATTGTATTGATTTATCCTCAACACAGCTGTAAGTTTTCTTTAAAATAAATAAAATAACATAAATTGAGCTACTTTAGTAAACTCATACAGGGTACAGACAAAAAGATCAATTTCTACAGACACCTTATTAAAAGTCCGTATCGCTCGCGTCAGTGGGTTCTTTATTTAGCAGGTTGGTCCTCCCGCGAGGCACTGCAAATAACTTCGGTTGAGGCCGTCGCTCCACATATGTACCTATCCGGGACACTTCGACCCACCCGGCCCAGAACCACCGCATTGCTAGTTTTGCCTCTTAATAATTTAAAAACGTATGCTGCAAATGTTAATCAACTTCTTACTTCGTTGTGTCTCCAACCGTACTAATGATGAATAGGGTGGGATACATAAGTGGACAAAACGGATAAATTCCGTATAATTTCAGATACACATATCTTAAAAAATTATTTTGAATGCGTTCTAACATCGTACTGTATTTCATTTCATTAGATGTCCAAATAATTGTATAGTCCTCCTCCTCAAGAAAGCTTAAACCTCCCATATTTCGTATGGTAATTAGAAAAAGGCACGTTTAACATGCTTTGCAGTAAAAAAGAATAAGTTTTCAATTTGACTATTTTCTAGTATCATAGTTGCACGTTTTTTATTTGAAAGAGTTTTTTAATCTTATTTACACTTGGCAAAAACTAAATCTATAATTTTGTTTTAACATATAAGAAGAACACTAGGAGAACTACATCGCCCAAAATATCTGTACAATGGGGTTGCCACAGAGGAATTGCAAATGAAAATTGTTTATTTTTAAAAAGAAAAAAATTATCACAAAACATTTTTACACAAGAATCGCACTATCACATCTTCAGATAAAAAAAATCTGCCAGATATACTAGATTTCCTTCCATAAGACAATATTATTTCAAGCCCCACAATAAATTAAAGGGTAGGTGTATTATGAATCAAAGCAAAGTAGAAACAATTTATTTAGATACAGACGTATCTCCGTATTTTGCACGAACCTGAGTTGATACTGGTCGTGCTCGTTGAAAATGCAAACTTTATTAATCATTCACACAAGCTACTTGCCTTATATATAATTTCTATCTATGGATTTCTAAGAGGAATTAGCTTCTTATATTGATTTTAATTGTTAAAAGTACAAAATTAATATAAAATCCATATTAAAAATGTCCTTTTTTATTTGGAGTTTATAAAAGCTCTTTCATTTCATACAATCAAAGGTTTCCATTCAATAGTTATGATATAGATGTTATACAATCTGTAAAGCAATAAATGCCACGTATGTCACGTAATATGTCACGTATGTCGACATGGGTAAGTGAGCAAATTTTCTAATATCATCTATACGATCTTTTCTTATTGGCTCAGCTGCGTATTTATTTGTAATGTTAAAATTAAGTACGAATTAAAAATTAAATTTAAATTTTACTTATGTTTATGTTTTGAAAATTGATTGAAAACCATTTGAATTTGCAAATGTAATGTAAACTCTTTTTGAGGTCCTAGCGCCCGCGTTGGCAAAACAGAACAGCAGATTCCCGAAAGCGTAACAGATATTACTTTAGTGGTACACTACTACACTCTTAGGGCAATAGAATATTTTTCGATCATGGAGGTACCGCAATTTATGTAAAATGTGGTTTAAATTATAAGGTTCGTAAAGATCTTAACAAACTTTCTTTTGAAATGAATTGCGAACTGACAGCGATTGAATTAAAAAGTCCTAATATTGTTATTGTTTCTCTATACAGACCAGATAGTTTCTCCAGTTTCTCTATACAGATCAGATAAGGATATCTCTATTTTCTTTGATATTATTGCTAAGCTGTTATATATAATCTGTAGAGAACGAAAACAAATAGTCGTAGCTGGAGATATCAATTTAAACGTATTAAAGAAAAACAAAAAAATACTTAAGCTCACTGATATACTTGGGAACTATAATTGTTATTGGTTAATAAATTCACCAACATGAACTCAAGGTAAAAGCTCGTCATGCATTGACAACTTTATTACAAACATTGATCTCTGTAAAGGATATGTATTAAATTGTAAGCTATCGGACCATAATGTTATAAAACTTGTCTTAGAATATGAGGATGACCCATTAATTAAACCAGGAACTTACGCTAGAAAAATAACTAAAAGTAATATAGATTATTTCCATTATTTATTTAATAGGGACTTCCTCATTTTAAAATCACAAATTCTTAACTATGTAGACCCAAATCTAGGGATGGAAATTCTATTTGATGCAATAAGACATTATTACAATATGGCTTTTCCTAAAGTTATAAGTGTTTCAAAGAATATATCGAAGAAATGGACATTGAAAGGCATACAAATTTCAAAAAATAATTTGGAAAAACTAAAAATATTACAAGATTATGACCCAAATGTTGAAACACAAATAAAAATAAAAAATATAAAAAGATATTAAAGAAAGATATGATTGGGGCTAAAAAAATACAATACTCTCATAGAATTCAAACTTCCAAGAACAAAATTAAAGAAACCTGGAACATAGTAAGTGAATAAACACGAAGGAAAACCAGGTGTAGATCCACCGCGGCTCTTCTATATGTTGAGGACTGTCAGGGAAATAAAATTGAAGATTCCAAGGCTATTGCTAATTTATTTAATGATTTTTTTTTTCTGAAATTGCACATATTTTGACTAACCACCTAGATACCGACGTTCAAAAATGTTAACAATGTTTTGAAAATTGTACTAAACCACCCACATCAATTAAATTTGACCTTATTGATTATAAGGAACTATGGACTATCGTTAAAAAGATTAAACCTAAATTAACAACGGATATTTATGACATGAATACAAAAACTATAAAAAAACTAATACTTAAAAATCCTAAAATTATGCATTTGCTGCTTATAATGTTTAATAGATGCTTAAAAAGCGGTGTATTTCCGGAGTGTTTTAAAATTGGCAAAGTTATCCCGTTACACAAAAAAGGAGAATATTGTGCATTAAGTAATTACCGACCGATTTGCATTCTGCCAACATTATCAAAAATATTAGAGAATATAATAAAAAATAGAATTGTCAAGTATTTCGAGGAAAAACAACTTTTTGTTCCAACACAATTTGGTTTCCGAAAAAATAGGTCTACTGAGATGGCAATTAGAAAGGTCATTTATTTTGTTCTAGACTCTTTGGACGAGTCACAGAAATGCACGAGTATTTTTTGTGACTTATCCAAAGCGTTTGATTGTCTTCGCCATAATAACCTTATTTGTAAACTTACATATTATGGTTTCGAGGATGTAGAATTAAATATGATGAAATCTTATTTATCAAAAAGAAAGCAAGTTGTTGTAGTAAATGGTGTATCTTCAGATTTAAAAGACATTGATATAGGGGTGCCACAAGGCTCGATTTTAGGGCCAGTGCTATTTTTAATATATATAAATGACTTAGTAAACTCGGTCCCTGAGTGGGCATTCACCAGCTTATTTGCTGATGATACTCATCTCGGAATAAAGGACAAGTCGCAAAATAAACTCGAGCAAAAAATTGAGATAGCTGTGGATATTTTGAAGGAATGGTTTCAGGCTAATGGCATATTACTGAATGCTAATAAAAGTACAATAATGCATTATCAGGTTAGAAAACGGCTATCTGAGAACGTACTTGTTACAAATAATACTTTTCTAGGTTATACCTTAGACCATACTATGAGCCACTCTTATCATATAAACAAGCTATGCAAAAAACTAGCCAGTGCAAACTACGCACTACAAAAACTGAAGCCCGTAACCAATAAAAAAACATTAATGACAGTGTATTATGCTTATGTGCACTCCCTATTAAGTTATGCGGTGACAGTCTGGGGAAATGCTTCTGATATAAATCGTGTACTAAAATGCCAAAAAAGGTCATTACGAATTATAAATGGTTTGCGCAAGCGTACGTCAGCCAAACCTTATTTTAAACAAAATAAAATAATGACAATTATTTCTTTATACATTTATAAATGATTAATAGAAATACACCATGATCGGGATTCACATTTGAGAAAGATGGACATCCATAGCTATAACTTACGTAATAAGAAACGATTGTGTTTGCCTAAAACAAGATTGGCAAAGGTACAAAAACAAGGCATGTATAATAAAATTATAATGTATAATAAACTTCCCCTCAGTATCAAAAACATGAATGATGACGAATTCGAAAGAACAATTAAATTTATTTTTTATTCAGAATCCCTTATACTCTTTAAATGAATTTATGTCTATGCGTTTGGATGAATATTCATTCCTACATAAAGATGGGTGAGATACGAAATTGACTAGATCTCTGTGGTAGATGACAAGATATAATAATCATCAATATTTTATGACATAAAATTATATATAAGCATGTGACATAAAATTATATATATATATTATGTTTGTATAATCTAATTTGTGATGTTGTAATTTAATTGACTGTGATATAATTGATTATTAAGGATCGGAAATATAACCATTTTGACATTGTTAAGATACTAAATTTATTTGACATTCCTACTTACAATGATTTGACCTGCATGATATAAACCTTTATTTTTAATTTAATATGCTTATTGTAAAAGACTTGCCGAGTGTAACCTTCTGAGTTATATGGCCAATAAATTATTTGATTTGATTTGATTTGAGATATTTATGGGAAATAGGAAAAAAAGAAAAGTTACAAATAAAAAGATATCACCATCACCATTTTGTATCCAAAAACAATGAAATAAATACAACAAGATTTATGATTACCACTCTGTTTTATTCATCAATTTACATGCAAGGAAATTTATATTTTGCAAAAGAGAACTAAGACTCAAAAAGTTTAACACATTTTTCGGTTTTTTCTTTTATTCCGTCACACGAACTTTCTTGCGACCAGTCGGAGCACGTCTGAGGATGAAAAGATATAAACAATTATTGTATTTCATTACATTGACATTGATAGATACGTTATAGAAAGATAAACAATGAATTCAGTTGTGTTATATTGGGCAATTGAAAAAGTTTTTCTTATAGCCAGTTAAACGTTCATTTTATGTAAAAAATCCTAATAAATTAACGTTATGGTGAGAATTTCTAAAAAAGAGTTAAATTATAGTCTCAAAAAGTAAGCTCTTTTGAGATTATAATTTAACGATATTTGTTGTGTTTAAAGTAATGTCAAACAAAGTTATACATTTCTGAGAGTTGTTTGAGTAAAATTATATTGAATTCAAATATCTGGACAACAATTCTACATTTCCAACCAGATTATCATCATCAGCCTATTCCTTTCTTATGGAAAAAAATTGGGAGAATGGAACATAATACAATCGCAAGCGGTCTCAATGTGGATTGATGAGTATAGACGAAGATGCAACCGAGATCCACTGCTTAACTTCCAACGCATGGAGCAGCTCGAGATAATATATTTTTGGCGATCCAACCAAAAATCGGCCTTTAAAAGTTGCTTAACCGAATGTGCTGCATGGTTTAAATTTGTTAGTTTCATGAAAAGTTTAAAAACCAACATACTATAGTGCTGCCTCAACAAGTTCACTTACTAAATAAAGTACGATTGAATAGGGACGATGCCTATATTTTTTTGTTTGCCCGTCTGGTAATATAAACTTATTTTTGCATATCACATGACGCCACGTTTATGTGCATTTTCGAGAAGGCTGTGATGTAGCGAGCCTCGACTCCTCACCTTTAATGACTGTTATTTAAGCAATTTCTTATTAAATTGAAGCAAAAACAAAAACTATTTTCTGTTATTTCACTAATGGACTTAGTAGGATTCTTTTTTTACCCTGACTGGGTATCATAACTATTACAAAATTTTAATGGTGTTTTCCTGTTGATTAGAGGAACGCAAAACTACATTTGAAACGTAATCTAGTGACTTTTTTATACTTATTATTAAAAATCAATTCAAGTGCATAAAGGATTCCATATCGTTATTTATAAAAAATCACGTTCGTTGTATAAATCTTTATTTTATTCTATTAAAATAAAGCAAACAGAATAATATTAATACTTAAGGAGTACGGAACCCTAAAAAAGTCGATCGCTCTTGAGAAATAATTTTTTTTTATAACCAAGTGATAATATTATTTCTTTTAGTTGCGAAAATGGCGTGGGTCTTCCTCCTTGTTGTTAGAGATGACATATCTATACTAATACGAGTATTATTAGAATTATGGGACCGATTTTGTAAATTGTTTCACTAACGGAAAGTTGCATGATACACGGGTGACAATTAACGCGGGCAAAGTCAACGGAACAGCTAGTCTATTGTTGACTTCTCAATGGAATTTTCACTTAAAAAAAGTCAATTAAAACACTTACCGCCAGTAATTGATGTTCCATACAATGTCTATATTTCTTCAGTTCACACATATCCGGTGTACCGTATATTTCTATGTTACCATCTAAACAATTTTCTTTAATAGCCTCTAATAATTCTGCCATACCAGAGAAATCTTTCTCAACTTCCTCTTTAAGTTTATCCAGGATTATTTCTCCATTAGGTTTGCCAGTTCCTCTTTTTGTAGCAATGCAGATTTCACGTTCACACTATGACAAATAATGTTGTGTTTAAATAATAAAATAATTAGTGCTCCAATGTTGCTCATATATATATTTTGATAGTTTTGTTATTCAGTGTATCCAAGTTCAGTCAAATTTAATAACGATATTTATTGCTATTGATCGACAATCAGGGTGCTAATCGCCGAATCTATTTCAATCCCTTTCAATTTGAAATTTGAAAGATATACGCAAACTTCATGCTATAAATAAATTAACGGTGCCTGTCACTAGACTGCAAAAAGTTAATAACTCTTTCAAGGGTCTTTGCGCTTCTACAATAAGGTCCCAAGCAAAATACAACAATTAGATATCATGCAGTTTAAATCTACTATTAAAAAAATACTTATTAAAAAAGCTTATTATAAGGTATCTGATTATATAACAGACAAAAACGCTTGGACTTGAGATGATCCAGCAACTGGATAGGTGATTACTTCTAAACTCATTATCTTGTTTCCATTATTATTAAATGATTATGTTATTATTATAAGACCATAGTTTTTTTTTTATCTCTGTTTATAATGTATTGATCTGGTAATGACATGGTTTTTGTAAATGTCATTACTCATATTAGAGCTGGTGAGTTTCTTGCTCGTTCTTCTTATCAGCCAAAAGACGTCCTGAACGAGTGATAGGGAAAAAATGTTGGACGATTCAAAAGTACTTTTAAGAAGTCTATTTGAATAAAGATTATTTTGACTTTGACTTTGACTTTGATTACTATTTCATATACGATAGCAATTGCTATCGCGGCGTTTTTCGAAAGATATTGCATAAATGATATCGGTAATGTGACATTATTTGGAATAGTCTAAGGCAAACGTTAGACGCCAATGTCTTAGAAAGCTGTCGAGAAAATAGTTGATTGCTTTTGAATCTTTCGACAGGTTTAACTATGTTTATGTTATATTTCTTGATTATACATTCCAAAAGCGATTGCAACTTAAAAACTACTTAACTCCAAAAATCGGTATTACAATCCCTATACTTTTGAAGGGATTGCTATAAAAGTATGGCAATGCGTGTATATTTGCTGTTTCATCACACGAACTCTACTAGATTGATTTTGATAACTTTTGGTATAAATAAACATGCTTATATTCTTATATACCAAAAGTCATCAAAATCAATCTAGTAGAGTTCGTGTGATGAAACAGCAAATATACACGCATTGCTATAAAAAAACATGCTTATAAGAATATAAGCATGTTTATTTATACCAAAAGTCATCAAAATCAATCTAGTAGAGTTCGTGTTAAAAGTTTCACAGCATTTTTTCTTAAAATGCTGTGAAACTTTTTTGAAAACAATGTTTTTTATTTAAGTATTATGAATTGAAACTCTATTTAGATGAAGTAAGGTACATTATTATAAGCCGAGATAGGTAAATAAAAAAATATATTCTCAGACAATAGTGACAGGCAATCGGAATCTTGTCTTTATCAGTTGTTCCATCGACGCAATACAAACTTAAATTAGTTCGGGTCTAATCAAAAAAATGGGAGATTTCTTCAGGCCTTCACCTATCGAATTATAAATGCTTTCCAAGAGATTTCATACATTTGCTGTAAATTTCAATAATTTAAAATGTAGATTTTAACTTTGACTATTTTTGGACAGAAATCCAAAAATAATGAAATCATTACGTAATATAGTTCAATTTAAAAAAAGCTATTAATAAAACAATACTTTTTTCAACGGTTATAGTACATGGTTTATGCTCGGATAAGTAATGTTAACGTTTGGATAACCAGCCGATATCAACAGTTTAACGTACCTTCTGAAGCATGGAAGAGGCCGAGAAAAATATTATTTTTGCAATCTAAAAGAAAACTAAGATTTTCAATTCAAATCCATACATAGTATAATTAAAAGTCACCTACTGTTGTCTGTACGCTGATATCTTTTAAAGTACACAACGAATTTTAATGCGGTTCATCAATATACAGAGTGATTTAACAGGAATTTCTTGATGCTATAATACAGAACCACGCGGGAGAAGCTCGGTGGCGTATTGAATAAGCGCCGCGGCCCGCGATCGTTGTCGTTAAGCAACTTTCACAAGGGTCGGTGACGGGATGGGTGACCAAAAATTTATTATATTGAGCTACTCCGTGCTTCGGAAGGCACGTTAAGCCGTTGGTCCCGGTTGCATTTGCAGTCGTTAATATCCTCCAATCCGCTTTGGGCCAGCGAGGAGGGTCATGGCCCATCCTCCTTAACCATCCATAAGGAAGGTCTGAGCTCCCGCAGTGGGGACGTATAAGGGCTGATGATGACGCGGGCGAAGCTTTAGTGGAAAGTTATGATTTAATATTTGCACTCTATACGAATTCGAATTGTCTTACTAAGTAGGTGCAACAAGCGGTTTTTTCTTATAATAAATAGAAAAAAAAATGCTTACCGAAACAGGTGTGTTGGGTAATTGAAAACATTCATAAAGGTTTACGTCTGAAGGAGGTTCAGGGTGGTTGTTGCAGCATTTCAAAGCATTCTATAATACAATAATCTAATAAGGTTATCTTTAAACATTAAAATAAAATAAATTCAATCACATCACTCTACCAAAAATACAGAACCCTCAAACGAATTTATTCTTTGACACGATATTCGGGCACGAAAAGCAGGCGTAACTCTCTAGCTATGATAGCGCTTCAGCCCGACCGTATAAATATAGCTACATTTTTTTATTTATTGAAGCATTGGGTACACTGGCCAACAACTTAAACATTAGATATGTTTTTTTTTATAAATAAAGCTACAACTAGCCATAGCTTACTGATTTTCCAGTGAATAAGACAATATCAAAAGTATAGTGAATGTTCTGTTTAATTATGCTTTTTATTAGGTATATATGAAATCTTTTTACTATATTAATTTTCAAAATGTTTAATAATAATAAAAGAGTATGTAATTTCTAAAATCAATAAGATGTTTTATAGGTTTTTTATAGAGTTGTAGTAAAAATTTTACGGTCAGGCTGAAGTCTGGAATTCGAAAATTAACTTCCATAAACTTGTATAGTAATTTATTTTAGAGGAAAGGAATATCAAAGTCTATGATTATGACACTTAAATGTTATAAACTTACTTACTCTAAACGATTCTCTGCATTTAAATTTTTCATCATCAAGATCTCCCTTAAAAAGAAACACAAAATAGCAATTTAATTAAAATAAAATATGAAAGAATATCGTATCTAAATGTTAGATTTATTCTCCAAAACCAGCTATCAGAATAATTATATCTTTAATCTATGTTTTGCTGCAATGTCTGTAGTCATATGTGCTCATAGAAGGCTTAATTGTGTCTCTCGATAAATGTGCCCGAGTCCTCTTTCCGTTTTTGGGCTTCCATATTGTGTAAATATGGAAGACGTACATATAACGTCGTTTTAAATCTCCGTCAAAGTAGTGATATGACTTTTAAGTACGTATTTAATGGCGGTTTCCTAAAAATTTCATATTTTTAATCGCACTATCAAGGAACTGGCCTGTAATTTTTAAAGATCTTTTAACATGATATCAGTGTATGTTTGTATTAAGCTATACGCTCCCTATAACAAAAAAAACAGCTTCGAATTCGTCGTCGAATGCACCGATGTCACTCCATTGAGTTTCATTTAAATAAAACCCAATACAAAAGGTTTTATTTCATTGAAGTTTCTTTGACGTGACAGCACTGCTTTCGATGATCTCGAGAATTTAATGAAAGCTGTAAAACGAGTTTTGCAATAAAATAATTTTTCTACATACCGCTACTATAGTTGCTATGAACACTGTCAAAACTAAGTAACGGCACATCATGCTGTCTGTATTTTCTGTTTAAAATAAATACTAAAAATCATCAGAGATGCGTATCTTTATATATACAAATATAAAACTAAATACCAGAAAATTGTTCACAAATTAGAGATGGTTGCGGGATTGTTAGAGATCATTAACCTTGAATTTAAACATTAAATGTGGTCACACAATGACAAATAAAATAAATTGTGTTTACTGAGTTTTGGGGCACTACCATGGGAATGTGGAATGTTAAATAGGGCACGTACACCCAAATTATTAACTTTTAATTCTACCTTTAAAGCATTAAAGTTTAAAATCAAGTGGAGAGATTTGACAGATGTTTATAACCTGACGTATTATTGACTGTCTAAATAAGCTGTAATCGAAAACAGGACAACAACGTTATTTTAAAAAGGCCATAACGTGACCTTAAAAAAATAAAATCATCTATAGAAACACATTATTAGTCTTAAAATTCTCAATTTTTTATTGTTGTTGAACCCTATTATGGATGATGACTAAATTTTGTTTGTCTGTTCGTCAGGTGTATTATGAAAGGTGAAAGGTGTATTATTGAAGAATATTAAACTAATTTTTTTTCGTAATCAGTAAAATACGGCGATACATTGTTGAAAACACGCATGACGTCACAACTTTTATAAAAAAATTCTACTTAGTTGTGACGTAGCGAGCCCCCACTCCTCAACTTTATTTACAATATCTAAGCCATTTCTTGATAAATTATCTATATCTTGAAAACTTATATAAATATTATCTAATATTTTTTTCTCTTTGCTAAAATTTAATGAACATGCGATTTTTTTTTGTAACCAAGGCCTCACCAAGGCCAAACCTCAAAGGTTTTCTCTTAAAATACTACCGAGCTATGGTTAAAAGCGAACCATTTTTCCTTAACAACGATGTACTTACCGTAAATTGTACAAATATAAAAAATCTAATGACATTAACAGACGTTATTTGAACTTCATTTTTATTATCATACACGTATTTTATAATATAGGATACTTTCACTTATACACTACCTGATATAACATGGAGGTCAGAGTACAAGAAAGGTTGAATTAGCATAGAAATAGGTTCCGTGAATACTATCGTTTGCAATTAAACTGTCAGAGCTGTTTAGGTCTGTTCATGTTAGCGAAACCGACAGCTTGATAACTGGGCCCCATGCACTTGGAAGCGAAAAATAAAAAATAATACTGGAAATAATAGGCCTGTTATTTTTTTTAAAGATAAACAAAGAATTGAGCAATGGGGTCACGTCAAGCCTTAATGTCGAATACATAATATTAGTTTGATTCTGCTAAAGCAGATCACCTAATGTTGTAAATTATTTTAAGGTTACCGCACTTTTTATACTTCAATACAATGAAATTGCATGGAATTTGTATATAATACATTTTTCTATATTTACGTTTTTGTAACTCGGTTATTTCTTAGGTTAATACAAGTCGTCTCTCTACATTGACCACCATTGTTATTATTTCATCATAGAAAATATAATGTTTAGTAAATTGAGTAAATGAAGTCTCTATAAGTGATAGAAAATTCTAGGTCAGCTCCCAGTTCTAGACTAGTTCTACAATTCACAAATACACGTAGACACGTATCTAAGTATTGTGCGTGTGGACAATGTAGAAGAAAAAGTTCTTTATATTTTTTCTTTAAGAATTTCTGCGTCTTAGTTTATCTTTAAGATAATCTGCCATTGTCCAAAATAAATAAGTAATATAACGTATGTGTTATTTACTAGCTAGACTCATTTGTGCTGTGTTATCGTCTCTGTAGAAATTTTAAGACAAATTTTTACTAATATTATAAAGAAGTAAAGTTTCTAACTGTCGATTTGTTTGTAAGGTTTAATCTCGAAAATATTGGTCCTATCATGAACATCATTTTATCTGTAGGAAGCTACATCGTATACGAGTGACATAGATCATAATTTACGGGGGCGAAGTCGTGGGAAAACAGCTAGTAAGTATAAAAAGAGACATCAAACTTTTAGAGTTATTCAAACAGAAATTATGTAATCTTCATGACGCAAACCTTAAAATATATGAGTGTTCAAATACAGTCATTTCGTTCTGTGTAAGAGCAAGTAATAACTTTAAATAACATTACGGAGTTACATTTCAATGGGAAAAATCCAATATCGCCAGTTCTGGATGACAGATGGAACACATTAACGACGCCGAGTAGCTCGACGATAACTCACTTCTTTCTCGAATAGGACTAAGCTGATTCGAAATTATACATTAATACCTTCTTGGTGCATGATAGCTTTGCACCTTATTTTTTAATAAGCAATTCATATATCAGGGAAGAAAAGTCTTAAATATCAAAATCGCAACTTTACAAAAGAAACATAACACTTGATGAAAAACTATTATTAAAAAAATCAAAATCCCCGCTTCCGTGAGAAAAGTAACTGAAAGGGCTGAAACAATATGAGATGCAGTAATAACATGTAGTCGGAGGCATGCATTAATAGAGAATGATGTTAAGTATGATGTTGCATAAAATTTGTATCTTTTGTTCAGGAGTTTTCAGTTAATTGTTTTTAATACAGGCGGATTTTTGTGTTTTTCTTTTTAGTTAGATAAATTTGTGGTTCGTTCAGAAAAAAAATCATTAGGTACGATGGCGAGGCACAGTCGCCATATTTGTTTTTTTTAACGTCACCTTAGATAGGTGACGTTAAAAAAACGTTAAAAAGAACACTTGTGCTGCTAAGATGAATCTGACAACACACTCAATGAGGGAGTATTTAAAAAAACATTAGTCCCCGAAATCAAACTAGTTGTCGCTACAGTACGTTCTTGAATTCTCCATGACAACCCTTCCGGTTTTTTTCGTGTTTAAAAGTAAATAAGTTTTCAAAACTCAATAAACAACTCATATTCTGTTTGTAGTTTTTTGTATTTGTATTGATATCTAAGATTTGAACTTTTCAAATTTAAGTTTTTAAATATGTAAGTAATGGTAATTATAATTTGAAAAACTATAACTAAACTTAATAATAATATTTCAATCATTTGAAAGATTTATTTTGTTATATTTTATTGTAGGTAATTAATTAATGTAGGTAAAATAGTATTTCATGAATGTTTCGTGTTAGATTATTGAATAACATTGTACATGATAATTATTGGAACGCCGATTTAGTTTGTGTTAATATATATATGAAATTCAATCGCGCAGTGTTGATTAATATTCTGAAGTTGTGCCTTTAAGCAAATAACACATAATAATTTGTTATAGCCTCCACTGAATTTATTATATCTGCAGACCATATGACACACGTGTATAAAAAACACTGAAGTAAACAAAAATAACCAAATTTCAATTAATTTTAGACTAATAAATAATAATTTTATTTCGGAGAAAATCTGCTGTGATAACGGACAGACAGGTAGAACGGTAACGGATTTTGGTTTTCCTTTTAAGATGATGTACCCCAAAAACACATCTGCTTCTATTTCGTATGAAATGTACTTTTTTATTAATATTTTTTTCAGGTTTATATCCACAACGCAATGGCTTTAGCTACTTACTTTGGGTTCTGAGAATGTGTTATTTTGATCCTTCAGGGAAAAAAGATCGTTATTACTATTTTGGGCGAAAACGAAAATATGGTACAGTTTTGTTTGAATCAAATTATGTAAAGCTTTATTACCGACATACGATGTAGCTTCCGGTAGATGGAAGAAATTTTTAAAAACTGTATGTTCCGGAGCCTATTCAGTGCAAACAAACAATGATTAGCTCTTTATAATATTTTAGATAAAATCCTATTTTCTGTTTTTTTTTTCCACAAAGGAAAGGTTATGTTTTTCCCGCGTATTTTGTGTATATGTATGTAATATTCTTTATTATCAACAATCGAGAACAGCTGAACGCATTCACTTAATGTGAAAGTATTTTAAAAAAATATGAAAGCACCTGCACTAGATGGCAACTCTAGCAAAATTTGATTTTTTCAGGAAACGAATGGACCAAAGACAGTCACTTCCGTTCCTTAACAGTAAGATTTTTTACAATTTTCAAATAACAGATTTATATTTTTAAATAAAACTATTTAAAACTGGTGTAGCGTGTTTATATTTGATTTCATGACGTTTCGGACTTCTGACAGGTTCCGTGTTCACTTCACGCTTGTCTTTTTCTACGATAATTAAGAGTACAGTTACATGTTGCAGAATTTTTTAGTTTATTTATTTTTATTATAATTTTAAAATAAATGTCATTCTTTTATTATCTTTGATATTAACATAAAACTAATTGTCCTCCATGGTTGTGCCGTATCTCTAATCTGTAAAGCTTTATTTTAATGAACCCATTATTTTGTGCTTATAATCATTAATTTTAATTAAACAATCCCATTTCCATTAGCTCTCCGCTTCATTTTTTGGTCCTTCCACCGTAGTTACCACGTACCTATCATTTTCATTATTCATCTCAAAAATCTTCCTCAGCTAGGTAACAACTTAAAAGAATAAAGTACTATAGCCAATCAAGTTCGCAATAGTGTCGCTACTATACTATTGCTTAATCTCCTCGAATATTTGCACTCAACCGAATTTATTACGCCGTAATAAAAAAATTAAGCCATACTTTGAAATCTAGGTGGGCTGATTTTGCTTACCAAGTCAGTACGTAAGGATCAAAATTAGAAACTTTTACTTTGTCACCTGAAACCACTGCATCACCGGCTGGTATATGCTCAAGTATGCGGTGATGAGCAGGATATGCCTACCGTCAAGTGCTAAACGTACGTCCACGTCGTTCACTTCGGTAATACCTGGATCTAAGAACAGGCACCGCACACTCACTATCTACCCTGGGATCCATGTAGATGAAGCATTTAACGCTACCTCACCAGTGCTCTCCATCACGGTGAGGGAATCCTATGACCCTCTAATTCTATGATTCTTTTCGCACTTCAACACGCTTCATAACCCTCTTTTCATCTTTTCCTTGACACCTTTCTCCCCAGGCTGACCTACAAAGGCCTCGGTTCTATCGGTTTTTGAGGGAAAAGCCGATAGACTAATAACCCCTCCTGATCTAAGGTATGCGCAGTTGAGCGCCCTAAGTGGGGATGAAGGAGTCCTGGGGGGTTGAGTGAAGCGAGGTTGGCGGTAGTACCTTCGCGACGCAACACGCCCCCCTTGGTCCGGAATTCAAACAAAACGGTAGCCTCTCTGGGTAGCGGCCGAAAGGAAACGGTCACGCGTCCCGTCAGGGGGCTGCCGCGAGATATGGGGGGTCCGGCGCAGCTTGCTGTGCTGGACGGTTAAGGTCATGCTGACGAGGTGAGGGTGAGTGGAACAAATGGGTTACTCGAACCGATAACACAGCCTCTCATTCCAAGCCTCCAATGTCGCACCTGACACCAAGTCCCTATATCTATATCCAGTCCGTAAGCCTAGTGCACCTTGTTTCTATAGGGCACTCCCAGATGTGCGGGCTCCGTGGAGGGTGGGAAGCAGACTAGATGAAGAATTATTCTACACAGTATGGACACACAAAGGTTCAATTCACTGCCACACACATCAGCAACTGCTGACTCAATTGCTTCTGAGCAAGCCTCAATGGTATCCTTAGAAGTGCACAGCACGCTCGAAAGGAAACCGGAGGGCAACAAAATCAACCTGATTACACCCCAAAAGGGGACCACTACTCTGTCTGAGCAAGATTGGACTCTTGTGGGAAGGAAGAGCGGAAGAGTGACACAGGAGGAAACTCCTACTATGATGGTCGATGGTCAAACTTCCTTAAAGAAGTCCAGGAGGAAGGAGAAGCAGAAGGCAAGGATGCAGCGGCAGAAGCAGCTCTGACGGGAATCCCGAATGACTGCATCAGCCAGCAACCAAATTGTCCC